TCCAAATATTCTTTAACAGAGAGTCTCCAGACTGATTAGTGAAATCTTGAAAGCTCGCGAGATCAGGATGGTCTCACCAGGCTATTATAATGCATGAACGACGGACATTTTGCGTGGAAAATGAGCCGTCCCTCCCAGCGTCTGCAGCATTATATTCTGTGCAGGTTTCCCCCATTCTGGTCGGCTCCAGGGGGTGTGTGTCTAGCACAGCTGGAAGCTGAGAAGAACACACTTCATGCAGTTCAGGAGGGACAGTTGTTTCTTTCCACAATGTTTTGATGGTGGTGAGCTAAATCATGGGATGTCCCTAGATGTTTGCAAACCCTCGCCGCAGGGGAGGGTCTGCAAACTTGCTTGCGATGTGTTCCGCACGGAACCGTCCGCGTAGTTAGGAAGAGAGAAGGAAGCTGAAGTTGCTTTCTGAACTAAACCTGATGATTCAGTTCATCAGCTCTGTCCAGACTTCCATCTGTCTGATCATCCTTCTGCTTGAAGCGTGTGATCTTCTTCATCTCTGATAGTGTTGCTGGAGGTTGTTTTCCAGCCTTTTCCTGTATACCTCCTTTCTTTCTCTGATCTTGACCTTAAGTTGCTTCTGTATTATCTTCTTTATTTCCCTGTCTCCCTTCATAAAGGCTTTTTGTTTTGTTAGGCAGTTCCTTCATATCACTTGTGATCCCTGGTTTAATATTTGGGAAGCAGTCCAGTGTTCTGTAGGGATGGTGTTATCCACACAGAGGTTTATGTAGTCAGTAACACACTCAGTCATTGCACTGATGTCCTCTCCATGTGGATGACAGTGCATCCCAATCTGAAGTCACAAAAAAGAAAACCTGCAGGGCTTCTTCAGCTTCCTGTGACCATCTTCTGTTATCCAAGAGGAGTTCTTACTTCAGAGATTTAGGAGTCCTTAATGTTTGCATAAAATTAGTGCAAAGTTTTGTTTTCTATGCATTGTCTACTGATGGTGGTCAGAGGGCCCGGTGGCGCCAGTGTACGGCAGCCCCGCTTCTGTCAGTGAGCCCCAGGGCAGCTGTGGCTACAATGTAGCTTGCCACCATCAGTGTGTGCGTGAATGGGTGAATGAATGTAGTGTAAAGCGCTTTGGTCAAGTCTCCTGACTTGAATAAAGGTGCTATATAATTACAGGACATTTACCATTTACCATTCTATGGTGCAGCAGCTGAAAAACTATTGAAATGTTAGCAGTGTAGCAGGGAGGGAGGCGTGATTAAAATAAACATTTATTGCCACAGATGCATTTGGCTGCTACATCTATAGCTTAAGCCTCTGTCACACCTTGAAGATTTAGCCAGCGTATGCTTGACTTGCCCAAAATCTGGTAAAAACGCTGGCATACATTGGATAAGTCATAATTTATAAGTCAGTTATCACATGTCGACTAGCACACATCGACATATGGCAAATAAGTCGAGAAATATTTAGCATGGTCAAAATTTCCCAACGTATGCCATAAGCTACAGATAAGTTATCTGGACCGGCCCCGGAGCTGATGGCTCGGTTTAAATGCCCGGTCCAGTCCAGTCAGTGGCCAGCAGCCCACCTAATTCTTGTAGAAGTAAACCCAACTGTAGGCTTAACAGCTAAACTGGTGTCTTCCATCTACCTCTATTCATGTTCTTGGACGAGTGAACAAGTGGGCTGGTCTGGATGTACATTTTGGTGGACTTGGGCGTGACAAAAGTACAGGCAGGAAACAAATAAGGCAACATCCCCGAATTGATGTCAACTCGGGGCTACTTTGGATTCGCCCGTTTTATGGTGGAAGTTTAGAATTGTGAGATTTGCAGAGAAAGGAGGTGTTGATGGGGTTTGAACTTCTCTGTACGTCCATTTTACCCACTGAACTATCGTTATTCATCTATGACAGTGGAAACTCTGTTTTGCATTCTATGATCCCTTTAAAGCGTAATTAACTCATAAGTCGTGGAATCTACCTTATCGAAGACCTATGAGTAACTTGTGCATAACTTCTGCGTAACTTATGAAGAACGCACATCAACATATCTGACATGTTCCAGACGAGCGCTGAACATGTTTCCAACTTACAGCTATTGTATAATGGCATATTGGCAGGATCCTCCCTGCGTTTACACTCATGGCCAACAAATGTTCTAGCAGATATGAATCTGCTGTGACTGCAAACCTTATTTAATAACACAATCAAATAAATCTCTTCATGCAGGCCTAGCGTATCTGGGTGCATGGCTGCCCCCCTCAGGACACTGGCTTGGGCATCATTTCATTGGCATTACGCTGCTGTGCGTTATGCAGAAGTTAGGCTCTCGTTGGACATAAGTTCTGGACTCCTTATGAATACTATATGTATACGCTAAAAATAAAAAAAAATAAATGAAAGTTCAGCATATAGCAGTGTTTTAGGAGATTCTGGCCCGTCAGACCGACGCTGGATAAATATTCAAAGTGTAACAGGTGCTTTAGCAGCAATGGAAGTGATTTTGTTAAATGCAGTGTATGGCCAAAGGTGGAATGTAAACCATTGCTAACAGAACACTGGTAAACCATCTGGTTAAATAATATGGATGAAAACCAACTGCCAAAAGTTCAATATCTGGGCTGCAGTGATGAATCGTTACATTAATATGTCCTGGATGACAAACAATGCCAACCCACCTCCCTGGAGTCAGAGACATGATCCTATGACAACATTTCAGTAAAAAAACATAATGCTGAATTCCTGATAGCGTGGCTGGGTCCTAACTGGGGAGTAATTCTGAGAAGTGTGTTTTGTAGTAACTGACCTTGTTGTCTTGGGTGACCAGGATGCTGCTACCTCCAGGTTTAAGGGGCACTTCCTCCATCGCTCCAAAAACATCCGTCTCAACAGAGAAGGTTAACTCCAGACCCAGATCACTGATGTCATTATCCAAGATCCACTGCAGGTTTTTAGCGTACTCTGGATCGATAGAGGACACATCCTGGTAGTTCACTGGAATACCTGAGAACCAAAGTAAAACATAAGCGTTGATAGAAAATGACATGACACTTAAAGCAATATGTGACAGTTGTTTTTACAACAAAAAAGGATGACAAAAGAAATTACATTTTGATCAGGAGTTTAACTAAATTAAGTTCTAGGAACCTCAGCAGCATCATTTTGAAGAAGTAAATCTGTAGAGTCTGAATTTAATAAGTTGAGCAAACTGAGTGCCACTAAATTAAAAAGACAAAAAAAATTAAAAGTTTTCTGTCCTATAAATGAACTAAAGGATCCCAGAGATCTTTAACATACCTTGGAGATCAATGGAATAGATTAATGGATTTATTATTTATGCTTTACTGTAGCTTAACTATTAAAGACAAACAAAAAACTTTTTGATATCCGACAAGAAAAACCAACCTAAATGAGAAAATGAATCAAACCCTTAACCTTCACATGTGGAAATGACGCTTTTAGATCCCTACAGGTAATTTAGGGCAATGGTTGGTCAGAAGGTTTGTCCTTTACCCGGTGGGTTGTCGGTTCAAATACCCACTTGTTTGGTTCTCGGTTGTTGCGCTCTTGAGCAAGATACTTGAACTTTTTCCCATGCTGATGGTGGTCAGGGGGCCATGTGGTATCAACTGTATGACAGCTCCCCTACAGTCAGTTTCCTCCCTAGCAGATGTGGCTAAAACGTAGCCTACCACCGTCAATTCAATTCAATTCAGTTTATTTCTATAGCGCCAATTAAAAACACGTCGTCTCAAGGCACTTTCCAGTTCACCAGATCATCCAGTCAGATT